TCAGTTGTTCCATCATATTTTGGAATATCGGCCATTTTGAATTTCTTTGGAATTGGGAGAGGAGCAGCACTTGGCTTCCAAGGTTGTTGTGAATATTTATCCATATCTATCCCTTTGAATACAGGCGGTACTCCAGGTATTTGCTCTATGCGGTCACTTTGCTCCTTGAGCTGTTTCTGCAATGTTAATACTAAATTTTATAAATCAGAATTGACTAAGTTACCTGGTTCTCCATCTCACGACTCGCTGGGGATTCCACCACTGCCCGAATTAGCAAGCCCGGAACGAGGGTTTTCCAAAGTGTTGTTATTTGTAATTGGTGTTGGTGGTGCAACAGGTAACTGGCTGGCAAAGGCCTCAAGAGCTTTATTGACCTGTTGAGCGATTAGCTTTTGCAAAGCTTCATTGATAGCTTCATCGTTGTCAAATTGAGCATTTGCATTTGAGTGAGATCCATCAGGAGTGCCTTCTCGAGACCGCCGAGGCGAGCTTTGTGGAGAAGGGATTGGGGTGCGGTCATCTTGTGGGTCCCCCTGGAGTTGATGGTTTCCTTGGTTTCCTTGGGTGTTGTCGTTAACATTTGACATGGTTGTTGATGTAACAAAAAAGGTTAGGTTAAGAAAGAATAGATTATCAGATTCCCGGTAACGGAACCAATTTGTTTAACCAAAAAGTGGAATTTCGGTCAAAGCTTTATTTTAGAAGAACTCGGGTTACTGATAATCAAAGAAATGAATAATGGAAATTGATTATGCTAATAATAAGATGAACAGAAGAAAGCAAAATAAGTCAGTATATTCCAATAGTGTTTCGTATCCTTACAAATAACCAGTCTTCTCCTTTTTATAGCTATCTCTAAGATATACGTTTCGCCTTTGTTATAATAAGGCCATTATAGATAATTAAAGGCATTAAATGCTACTTTACATAACCATTTTAATTTAATACAGATTCTCTAACGTTTTCGGTATTTAATACTTATTTAATACCGTATCTGTACTCTTCTGTGCTGTCAGATTCATTCTCTTTAATTCTTGGATTTAAATAGGTACGAGCGTTGAGCCTTTTGAATATTTGCTCGTGCCTCTGCTTGTGCCTCTGCTCGTATCTGTTGCAACTCGTGCCTCTTTGCTAATCATCATTCTTTGACCAGCCTTCGTGTCATGACATGTTATATTTCAATCACTTCAATATATATAAACTCAATTTTTCCCAATACAAAAGTGGCATGGAACATGTGTCTTCCAGCATTGATCGACCATTTTTAAAAATTCTTTGTGTTCAGCCAGGTAACTGTAAAACCTGAACGGAAAAGGGCCAAATATATCCTTGTACTATGAAAAAAGGTTTAAATATACCACTCGTTATACTTTCGGTCCAAATATACTTCTGCCGTAATACTATTGGTTCAAATATATATACCCCTCTTCCGTTAAGTTTGTACAAGGTGGACATCCAATCCTACGTGGCACTAACGTTTGATGAGTTGGATTCCACGTGGCATGCCACCTCAACATCCCTAACCCATTTTATCCCTCCCCTATATTTGTTTTTTTCACCACTAAAATTTTCTTCGAGGAGAAGGAAAGTTTAGCGATGAAAAAAAATTAGTTGTTTATGAAATCAAACAACTGATTATGAAAGCTAATTCATAAATTTCCTGCTGAACTTGGAGATGATATAGTGCTTCTTAAAGCCAACTGACTTGTGCCTCGTGAAATAGTCTGATATATGCTTTGCTGCTTCGCCAAAATTAATCTGCATATAGTAATTCAGGCTTAATATTAGAATTAGGTGGAGAATTGCAGCCATTTATGTAGAAATGTTTGCTGCCATTTTTAACTTTGATAGTTTGGTGGTTTCTAGCTAAATCCCTTTTGATTCTGGTATTTCTTCTATCTTTCTTTGTTTTTATGACCATTCAGAGTTTTAGTTGTCCAAAAATCTCCCATAGGAGTTTTAACTGTTATTGGTGCAATTTTTGTAAAAATAATGCTAAAATTCAGTTTCAGTGATTTCTAACTAGACTTCCTTTTGGTTTATCTCATCTAAACCTTTAACTTAAAAGTCATGCTCACAAGACACTGAGATTCTAAACCATCATGAACTATCTCGCACGGTAGATATGAGAAATGCAGTCCTACTTTGCCTTGAAAGATGTTAGCTTGGCTGATGAACGTCATATTGTCTTGAAAGCTTTGGTTTGCGCACAGATTTTGTCCTTGAGGCCAAAGTCTACAAAGTATTTATCCAGACAGTAGTTGCCATCTCCAATATGCGAGAAATTTTATTTTAAACGCAAACAATATCTTCTTGGATAAAATATTATTATACAAACTATTGGGCCCGTGTTGGCACGTGCCAACATTAGCTAGTGTTAAATATGGGAATCTTACGGAAATGTCCCATATAAGTCTTAACTTACCAACCTCTAGTCATTAATCATAGACTTGCCAAAACTAGCCAAGCACATATAAAAATTGAAAACCCAAATAAATAAGGTTCTTTCTCTCCAAGAATCACAAGCAAAGATCTCGTTCCATAGTTTTAAGCGTGATTAGCAACATTAGATGCAAGACAGAAAGAAAGTTTCATGGATGAGGTAGCAAATAAGGTGATGAAAATAATACAATATATATATATATATATATATATATATATATATATATATATATATATATATATATATATATATATATATATATATATATATATACAAGATTTCAAAAATCTAAGCAAAATATGATCCTTTTCAATAAGCATGGTTGAAATCCATTGAAAACATATAGATGAGTCTATATACAAAATTTGAGGAAGATTGATGTTCATTTGGACCGATTTGGTATCAAAATTCGTAGTTAAAATCGAGTTCAAAAAATTCTTCTACGATACATATATCAAACACATACCACACATGTATCTCACAAACAGGTATACACGAATATATGTGTGATACATATTTGATACAAATATGATACATATATGATATACAAACGATACGCAATGTGATATACATATCATTTTTTTCATATTCATCTTCTATTTCGAATTTTCATTTCAAATCACCTCAAAATTCCACCAAATCTCAAGCCTAGTAGAAGGAGCAAAGCAAAAATTATAGGCAAAATGGCCTCCTGGCTACTTAAACTTGCACCTGATTGCCAACCCGGTAAAGAAACTTACAACTTTCCCATTTTAACACCTCAACTCATACATTTGCAAACTAATAAACCTCTTAAATGAACTGTGTATATCAAATGCTCTGACATTATAACACATCATATTCTAAGACTAGTTGTTGCTTGACATGTATAATTTGTGGGTCCCGCTTATTTTAACAAATTTTAATTTCATGGTTTTACTTTTCTTCTTCGTGGCCTTTTATAGATAAGCCAACCCCATTATTTTTTTTTCAATGCCACCCAAACACACCACTCAACTCATCACTCACATCTCTACCGCCAGCACCATTACACCACCACAAATAAGTCAAAATCACTCGAATTTATCTGTGCATAGACCAGAAAAAAGGAAAAGAAAATAAGCAACAAAGATAACTCGATTAGTTGTTCTCTCTCTAAAATCACAAGCTCACCACTCCCTTCCCACCTATGGACAACCACAAAACTACACCAGAATGCTCCTCCATTTTGAAGCCATCATTGATTTTCTCCTGGAATTCCAAAATTGATTTTTGTTTTGTTTTTGCCTAATTCGAAAATTGGCATACAAGTTTTGAATTCTTAATTTCCCTCTCAACTATAATCTTGACTTTCAGTGAAAGAATAACGTGAGAGAAAATTAAAGGATACTTGTGACAGTAAAATTGTTGGGTTTGATTAGGAAGTAACATAAGAAAAAATGGATGTATTTTATGGTAGATGAAGAAGGGGGGAAAGGTTGTGATGGTAAAGAAATGGATGGACTGTGGCCCTTTCTTTTTCATTTATTTTTTCTTTTGATTTTAGAAAATTATCGTACTCGCGCGCGCTAATTCTGTGAGCTGCACGCACTTTGTCCATGTCACACGTGCTCTTGCCACATAAGCACAGTTAATGGTCAAATGTGTTTATTAGTTTATATATGTACTGATTGGGGTGTTCAAATATGAAAGTTGTAAATTTTTTTACTGGGTTGGCAATCAGGTGTAAATTTAAGTGACCAAGAGGTCATTTTGTAAAAAATATATAACTCGAGTTATATTTTTGCTATCTAGTGTAATTTGCTCTCAAAGGTAGCAAGTGCTCTGAGACCTTTGACCCGCTGGTGTGATTGGCAAGAGGCTAACTATCTGACACGTAATAAATGAGAGTTGCACCTTTACACTATATTTGGATCATTGTTACCCATTGTTTTATAATGTATTGTAATGTATTGTATCGTTTTATGAATACAATATTTGAATAGATTATATCGTTTGCTATTGTTAAATAACATTTTTGTTGTTTGGTTTGATTGTATCCTACTGTACTGTAATTGATAAATTCACCAAAATACCCCCAATTATTTTAAATAAAAATTATCAAAAATTACATATAAAAATAATTTAAGAAAATATCTTTTTACTAATTCATCATTAATTACGTAGCTTGGAAATAAGAGCAAAAACCTGGAAAAAAAAAGATTAACTAATATTAGAAAAAAAAAAATTAAAACGAAGGAAGAGACAAAGAATCGAACAGAGACTTGGATAAAAAGAATGGGGCAAATCAACTATAGAAAAGATGGAAGAAGATAAAGTAGGTCAATAAGTTGGAGATTTGGAGTTAAAATAAAAAATAATTAAATGATAAAATAAAATTATAGAGTAATAAGTAAGGGGCATAATTGAAAAAGAAAATAGGAAACGATCCCACCACACCGAATCGGTCGTTTCATAAAATGGGGATTTTAGTTGTTCCGAAACAATGCATTTAACAATACGATACAATTAATTTTAAATAAACAAAACAAACATTATTTTGTAATAACAATACAACATATAACAACCATCCAATCAAGCTATTACCTATTAGCCAGAAAAACAACAAAAATAAATAAATAAATTTCGCCAATACGGTGATTCCTTTCTCTTTTACCCCATTTTACTCTGCTTTTACCAGCCCTCCATTTTTCCCCTTCCGCCGCCGCTTTTATCTTATTTTTTTACCTTCTCCAATGGAAATCCTTACTGACGGCGACGGTCACCGATCAAACGATGTCACTACTTTCCCTGACAACAACCTTACTCCTTTTCCAGTATCCACTAACGCCGTTTATTCTCATCCAGCCTCCGTTGTTCCTCCTCCACCGGAAATCGACCACCTTCCAGTTTCCCCTGCCCGTAAGCTCCGTCCGGTACGGTGTGGAAACGGCCGTAGCTATGTCGATATGGTGGACTCCAGCTGTGACATGGACGAAACTCTGATGAACTGCAGCAGTGATTTAGGAGGGTTTTTTAATCAGTTCTCTGCTCAAAATGCAAATACAGTCATACCGAGGGAGTGCGGCTTTGAATTCTCGGCAGTTCAGCAAATGAAGTCGGTGTTTGATGCTCATTGCTTCAACTTGATCTCCCAAGCTCGTATTTTGGAGGCTGAATTTAGGTATTTTTATTTTAATAATAGCGGCATTTTCCATAATCGCCTTATTATGCTATTTGGTATGTCGGCCTTTGTGTTATTTATCGGATTAAATTATGTGAGCAAAGTTCTTCATTTAGTGTATTATTTTTTTTTAATATTCATTTGCAACTTAGATGATTCGTAGTTACAGTATAGTTTTAACATTCTAAATTCCAATAGTTTTTTGTTGCTAATTATATTCAGTGCATAAAGTGTAGGGAGCAAAAGTAAAATACTTAGTGTTATTGCCAGGTTCTTTATTTTCCTGTCAAAGAACCCTAAGCTTTATATTTAAGCCTTATGAAACTTATTTTAGAAAAAAGTTCCTAGCTTAGACCTTAGAAGTCAGTTTAAATGATGCTACAGTATTTAGTGGATGGCTGGCTGGCTGATGTCATTTAGGGGAAAGAAAGCAGCAGTTTTTGGCTAAAGAGGTCCTGAATTTACAGTGATGTTGGTTGCTTTGGAATTAACAGTTGTCGGTATTTCAAAATGTTTCAAACTTACTGCCAAAGGTCAATTTTTTTCTTTCGTCATGCCAGCAAAATACTCCAAATAGTTCTGATGAATAATGTTGCCTATAGTAATCCAGATAATTGCATGAGAACGATTTGTTATAATAATATAAGTGATTTTCTAGGAAAGATTAATTAGTCTCTTACAAAATTCTGAAGATATGAAAGGATTTGCACTTGAATTTACGTGGATGCAGCTCATCTTCAGATGACAGCGAATCATCAGAGGCAATTGAAGAACGATTAAATAGGAAGAGGAAGAGGGAAACACGGAAGAGTCTTAAATTATATCTTGAAGATATGGTAAAGAGGCTGATGGACAAGCAAGAGCAGATGCACAAACAATTAATAGATATGATAGAGAAGAAGGAACATGAGAGAATCATACGAGAAGAAGGTTGGAAGCAGCAAGAGATAGAAAGGGCAAAGCGGGATGAGGAGGTTAGAGCTGAAGAGACATCTAGAAACTTGGCCCTTATTTCTTTCCTCGAGAATCTGTTGGGTGATGAGTTCCAGATTCCAAAATCATCAGAAATGTCAAGCCGAGTTAAAGATGAAGGTGAAGTTCATGGTCAAGAAGCTGATGTTAGATCTGATCCCTGTAATAGGAGATGGCCAAAATCTGAAGTGCAAGACCTTGTATCAATTCGAATTGCTTTAGATCACAAGTTTCTTAAAGGGGCTAAAGGATCTGTGTGGGAAGAAGTAGCCGATGGATTGGCAAAGAAGGGTTACATCCGGACTCCAAAAAAGTGTAAAGAAAAATGGGAGAACATTAACAAGTACTATAAAAGGACAATAGACAGTGGAAAGGCATGTCTAAGAAACTACAGATCATGCCCCTATTTCCGCGAATTGGACATACTTTATAAGAGCCACCTACTTACCCAAGGTACTGGAGATTGTGTGAAGAGTGAAGCAGAAAGCAAGAAGGCGGAAGAGTAAATATTGCCCAAATGCTGTTCCTGGATGTGCATGGAACTAAAGGGTACATATGATTATCAGGTTCTCCAAATTCGGAACTTCACCTTGACGAACCAACACGATGAACTTATTGCTGCTGTGTTAATGTCATGATAGGTGTAAGCGTACCTCGTCCAATTAGATGGCTTTCTGTGGAGGGTACTGATGTTCCTTGAAATGGTTGAGGGGATTCGAATTCAAAGTCAAAGAGTTACTATCTTTGCATGTTCTTGAATGCATTTTGGTAACAAGAGTTCTCCTGGGTAGTTTATATAAATTTGTCAGATTGTTTCTCCAGGGTGGACCTGTATTCTCAGATCGTTTTCTATAGTAAGAATGACTACATCACATGGTTTAAGAATTAATGTTCGTCCGGTCTTTCCTTACACTTTCACATGGTCCTGATTTCATTATCAGTCCTACTTTCAATTCTCATAATTTATAGCAGAGACGATTTTGAATACAGAAAAAATGGAAAGTTTACAATTTACTTTAGCGTTAAACACACAACAAAAACTACAGGTAACAAAAGAAATTAGTTGAATTCATACAAAGAAACACAATGAAACCCAGCAGAGATATATGCATAGCACTCTTACGAATGATTAACAAGTTTGTCAGGGTAAATAAGGATAATTTATTAATTTGTTGAACCTATTTAAATGGAAACATTGAACGTCACTCATTTACCAGAAGAAGGAAAAACAAACATTCAACGCCACTCCTTACTCCTTATTTCATTTTAAATGTGCTCTTTTGTGTTAAGTTCCAAGTTATTTTTCAGAGAAATATTTTTCATAAGGAAACCATCTCTGGTGTTAGATTATCAAATAAAGTATGTTTTCGTGGGTTAACTTCCCATACTTGCGTGCAAAAAAAAGTGATTTTTCTCACAACTATCTTTTAATTTTAGATTTCATGCTATTTGCTCCACTTAACACGTAGACACTATTATTGGTCTTTACTACTCGCAATTTCATCAAAATTTTGAGTACTACTTTTATTATTAATCTTTGATGTATTCTTTTTTTTAGATGCACCAACCAAATATTAAAAAATATTTTCTAAAAAGCATTTTCCATGAAAAAGTTGGAGATTTTAAGTCTTGAAAAGAAAGTGTAATGGTTGGCTTTAAACATAAAATCAGAGGGCAAGTCTTTGAGAAAAACAGAAGGGATTGCTCCATTTGGACAATTCCAATGTTCGAGAGGTACCCTTGAAAGAAAAAACATGAATTTTTAATGTAGTCTAGCGTGTATGCTATGCTATGACCAGTGGAAAATCTATCACCTAAACTTGAGTTTGAGCTTTAAGGTTTTTAGTTTTAATTTATTAAATTTTTAAAATTGTAAGTTCAAATTTACTATATGTGAATTGTTAGTGATTTTTGGCATATAAATTTGAGTTGTATGCATCAACATTCAACACCTGCGAGAAGAAGCGTATGTTGGTGAGACTTCAGTTTTTAATGTTTAACCCCTTTATGACAATCTTTTAAAAAGAGTAAAAGAATAGTATTCCATTTGTTTCAATTTATATGGCAAATATTTGTTTCCGTACAGAATTTAAGAAAAAAATAAAGATTTTTGAAACTTATAATTTTAAACAAGCCATACATATTTGTGATGATATAAATCATCTCGTGGAAAGTTTAAACAGACATTATTTTTAAATAAAGAAGTATGATATTTTTTTTTTAACAAATTAAAAAAATATATATAGCACATAAATTGGGACAGATAGAGTAAAAGTTTATGGCTACCTAGACGTGAGTCACGTGACTCATGAGGACGTAAAGTCAAGCTTTGAGCAATTTATTTATATAATTTATGTACTAGTTAGTAGTTACCAATAATTAATTAGATTCCGTAAAGACTTGTCCATTCCTTAAAATAATAATAAAAAATTAAATAAATAAAAACGAAATTCATAGCAAATAAGCCGTATTCTCAAATGATTTATGTTCATCAAATACGATTTACAATCAGTAATCGGCTAACGAGATTTATAAGTCGCATTCAACTACGATTTATACTTGTTTATAAGTCGCATTTTGATAAAGCGATTTATAAGTCACATTCACACAATGCGATTTATAAGAGTCTAATGAGATTTATAAATCGCGATCACATTCACGATTTATAATTTTAAGTTGCATTAGACGAAATCAATTTATAAGTCGCATTCATCCAATGCGCTTTGTAAGTCACATTCTTCTAATTTATAAGTCACATGCATTTATAAGTCGAAGTAACTAAAATGGTTTATGAAATAGGTATCACGTATAATAAGTCGGATTAAAAAAACTCGATTTATAAATTGCAATGCGAAATATAGTCGTATTTCGGAAATGCGATTATTAGTTGCATCCTTTGATTGCTATTTTGTCGATACGATTTACTATCTATTGCAATTTAATTTCACGTCAGCGATTGCGATTTATATCAATTCGTGCAATGAATTATAAGTCGCCATTAACGAATGTGACGTATAAATTGAGCAATTTATAAGCTGCTTTCTGAAATGATATATATACATTATCCGGCTCCACCCTCCGCCTTCCATCATCGCTATTGGTGAAGTAAATCGGTGTTGGGTTGAATCGATCTAGGGCGGGAAAATGAAGCAGTATACTAACGTCCTCGACAGACCCCTCAGCAAGGGCAAGCAAGAGAGGTACCCTTTCTTACATCTTTGAGCAAAAAAAGCTATAAATATTCCTTTATGATATAGACCAAGTAGATTTGATTGTTTGCAGGTGAGTTTGAGTGGTTTAATTTTGCATTCTTGTTTTGTTCAGTACAATCAGACCCAAGTTGACAATATTACTCAATTGGAGACTAGGTACCTGTCAAGAATTAAGCTAGCTAATGTTGTAATTAGTGGCAAGTCCTAAGTTTAGTACTATTTTAATTTAGTCCATTTTAATTCCTGTATTTGTAGTTGGTCCCTTTTGCAATTACTGGATATTAGAGACACGTGGCTAGTATGCCGTTAGAATAGGGAATCCTAGGTTGGTTTTCTTATATGCTCACAGTGTACTCATTTGCAGATTTTTATCAAAAATATTATCCAAATTTCTCTATCTTTCTTCTTCTTCCTCTCTTCTCTTCTCCTCTTTCCAATTATGTTTCTTCACGACTGAGCTCTTCTATGGCTCAGCTCGTGACTATGGTATCAGAGCAGCACAATTCTGCAGAAAGCTCGGCAATAGAGGAAACTCAGAAATTCAAAGGACTTGAAGATGGTATGAAAAGCTCGAAACCCAGCTTCAAGCTATGGCAACTGATAACGCCCAACGATTTGAGAGGCTCGAATCCAACCAGAATCATTTCTCCTTGGAGCTGCGCGAGACCCTGGAGACTGTGGGGTCCATCCCCATTATTTAAGGAAGATTTTTTCTTCCTTATTGGTTCCTTTTTCAAAGTTGGCTGCAGCCATCATCCCACAGCAGCCCATGTTTATTTTATGTTCTCTGCACTTGTCAAATTTGGCAGGCATGCAGATGAAAAATGTCAAGCATGGTAGGCGATGTTTTGCCTATAAAATGAGAGCTTCGCCTACCATGCTTGACATTTTTCATCTGCATGCCTGCCAAATTTGACAAGTGCAGAGAACATAAAATAAACATGGGCTGCTGTGGGATGATGGCTGCAGCCAACTTTGAAAAAGGAACCAATAAGGAAGAAAAAATCTTCCTTAACTTTTTGCTCAACTTTAGATGACTAGCAAGAGGTGTGCTGACTGGCTTAGCATTCTTCATGTTGAAGCGTTCTAGTACACGTTAAATGTACTTCTCCTGAGATAGCCACAACTTTCTACTTGTTCTTTCTCGAACTATCTTCATCCCTAGAATTTGTTGTGCTGGGCCCAAGTCCTTCATATCAAATGACTTGGACAGATCTCCCTTCAACTTTGTTATCAGCCCCTTGTCTTTTCCTACAATTAACATGTCATCCACATACAACAACAATATAATAAAGTTATTCTCAGAAAATCTTTTGAAGTATACACATGGATCAGAATAGGTCTTTAGGTATGTTTGACTTTTCATGAATGAGTCAAACTTCATGTACTACTGCCTTGGTGCCTGCTTCAATCCATAAAGACTCTTATTCAATTTGCACACCATGTGTTTCTTTCCAGCTACTTCAAATCCTTCTGGCTGCTCCATATAAATCTCCTCTTCCAAATCTCCATGAAGAAATGCAGTTTTCACATCCAACTACTCCACTTCAAGATCTAGGCTAGCTGTTAAGCTCAAAATTGTTCGAACAGAAGTCATTTTGACAACAGGTGAGAAAATTTCGTCAAAATCAATACCTTTCTTCTGTTCGAAGCCTTTAACCACCAATCGAGCTTTGTATCTGACCAGCTTGCCATTTCCATCTTTCTTGAGTTTAAAGACTCATTTGCATTTGAGTGATCTTTTACCCTTTGGAAGTTCAACCAACTTGTACGTGCCATTTTTCTGTAGAGATTCCATCTCTTCTTGCATACCTTTCATCCACTGGTTCTTTTCTGGATGGGACAACACCTCCTTAAGACTTTCTGGCTCCCCCTCATCACTGATGAGGACATACTCTGTGGAAGGGTACCTGCATGACTCTACCCTTGGCAAGAATCTACAATCCCTTCTCCTACTCCAGAATCACCTGCAAAACCTTTTAAAGCAAAAATCAATTTTCCAGAGTTCATAGGATTCAATCCCAGAGGTTGGATAAGGAAGTGTGAGCAGTTTTTTAAGATCTATCAAATTCCAGAACAAAGTAAAATGAGCTATGTATCTGTACACATGAAGGATAAAGCAGACATATGGTTTGATAGCTACATCTTGGAAAAAAGGGTACCAACTGGCCTCTGTTTTGTACCGAGGTGTGTCGCAGATTTGGAAATGTCAGACCCATTGACATTGTTGATGAGTTCAACAATAACAAGCAAACTGGAAGTGTGGATAGCTATCAAGAAAGGTTTGATGAACTCAAATCCTACATGTTACTAGTAAACCCTCTTCTGAATGAGACTCATTTTATTGCTAGTTACATTAGCGGATTAAAACCCGAGTTGAAGCCCTTAGTAGGTTTAGCCAATCCTGTATCTCTAATGGATGCATATGAAATAGCTAAATCCTATGAAGCATCTTTCATAGCCTTGACCAGAAACACCACTCCTAGAATTTCCCATTACCCAAATCACCCTCAAACCAATTCTAGAGCTATTGTGCCTTACCAGGGAACCTATAACCAACCTCAAAACATCCAAACCTCCAACAATAAGACTCTTGTTCCTAGACCAAGAGTTCCCTTCAAACCAAACACTCCTTTTGAGGCCACTAGAGATAAAAGTCTTTGTTATAGATGCCATGAGAAGTATTTCCCTGGCCACCAATGTAAGCCCAAAACACTTAATACCATCACTTGGGAAAGTGAGATTCCAGAGGCCCAAATGCAAGTTATGGAACAAGTGCAGGCTCTGCAAGAAGAGGCTGAAACTAGTGGAAACAAGAATGATGCAGGAGAGGAAATTCAGGAGGAAGTGCAAGCTGAAATATCTCTTTGTGTGGCTATGGGAATGCCCAGTTCTCCCTCTACAGTCAAAATTTTAGGTTATGCAAAGAAGATTCCCTTATCTATTTTGATTGACTCCGGGTCTACTCACAGTTTTGTAGATCCCTAAGTGGTTAAGAGTCTCAAATTAGAGGTGATTCCCTGTGCCATGAAAGTAAATGTAGCAAATGGGCAAGCAATGTATTGTGACAAAGTTTGTCCTCAATTCTGGTGGCAAATGCAAGATGAATATTTCTGTTTTGATATGGGAGTACTGAAGGTAGGAGGTTGTGACTTGGTTCTTAGGATGAACTGGCTGGATATGTTTTCACCTCTTATCCTAAATACCAGGCCCCCTAGTTTGTCCTTCTATTTGGAAGATAGATTAGTCACCTTGATGGGACACCAGGAAGGTTCTTCTCTTGTCCACAATGAGGAAGATAAGTTAGAAAGGCTTATTAGTAAAAACTTCTGTGGAAATGTGGCTGCAATCTGTATCTTGAAGTCCAATTATGAAAGATAAACTAAGAATGAGTTGCCTAAGGAGGTGGAATCATTATTGCAGAAGTATCAGGATGTGTTTGATGTACCTAAAGGGCTACCTCCACCAAGAACTTGTGATCATTCAATACCGTTAGTCCTAGGAGCACAACCCTTCAATCTGAGGCCATATAGATACTCATTTGATCAAAAGAATACCATTGAAAACACCATTGAAGAGATGCTGAAATCCCAAACTGTTGTTCCTAGTCATTCATGCTTTGCTTCTCCTGCCTTACTAGTAAAGAAGAAAGACAATACCCGGAGGCTATGCGTGGATTACAGGAGACTCAATTCATTGACAGTTAAGAACAAATACCCTATTCCAATGGTGGAAGACCTTTTGGATGAGCTAAATGGGTCCAAAGTGTTTTCTAAGGTGGATTTGAGATCAGGATACCACCAAGTCCGGATGTGGACAGAAGATGAGCACAAAACTGCTTTTAGAACTCACCATGGCTTATGGCAGTTCAGGGTGATGCCTTTTGGGCTCACTAATGCACCTGCAACTTTTCAGTCTCTAATGCACCAAGTTTTTGGCCCTTATCTCAGAAAGTTTATACTTGTGTTCTTTGATGACATACTTATTTACAATGTGTCTTTAAAGGATCATTTGAAACATTTGCAAATTGTTCTACAATTATTGAGGGAGAATCAATTATTTGCTAAGAGATCTAAATGTGACTTTGCTCAGAATAAGGTGGAGTACTTAGGGCATGTTATATCTAGAGAAAGGGTAGGGACAGATCCTAGCAAGGTGGCTACAGTGTTGGACTGGCCTCAACCAAAAACCATCAAGGACCTGAGAGTATTTATGGGTCTCACTGGCTATTACAGGAAGTTTGTTAAAGGTTATGCTCAGCTTAGTAAACCTTTTACATCTCCCTTAAAAAAGGGTTCTTTTGAATGGGGTGAAGAAGCAGATAAGGCTTTTCAACAGTTGAAGAAGGCATTGACTTCTACTCCTTTGTTGGCGTTGCCGAATTTCAGTAAAACCTTTATTGTGGAAGTGGATGCATGTGGTACAGGTATTGGTGCTGTGTTGTTACAAGATAAGCAACCTATAGCTTATTGAGCCAAGTATTGAGCCTAAAACACCAAGGTTTATCAACTTATGAAAAAGAGTTGATGGCCTTATTGATGGCAGTTGATAGATGGAGACATTATCTATACCTTAATCACTTCATCATTAAGACTGATCATTTTAGTCTTAAGTTCCTCAAGGACCAAAGGATCTCTACTACTCTGCAACATAGAGGTCTGACTAAATTGATGGGCCTCAATTACGACATACAATATAAGAAGGGTAATGAAAATACTATAGCTGATGCACTCTCTAGAATGCATGAGTCAAGTGCTGATTGCAATATCCTTTCTGTGGTACAACCTAAGTGGGTAGAGGAGATAATTAGCAGCTATGAAGGAGATCCAGAAGTAACTAAGATTTTTACTCAAATCCTTATTGACCCTGTAGCTGTGGAGGATGTGGCCTTGCAAAACGGGATGTTGAAATACAAAGGTAAGGTATGGGTTGGAAGTGGTACTCAGTTGAGACAACAACTAGTACAACAAATTCACACCACAAGCTTGGGAGGTCACTCTGGAGTCACTGCTACTTTGCAGAGGATTAAGTCTATTTTCTATTGGCCTTCAATGATAACTGATGTTAAGAAAGTGGTTTTGGAATGTGATATTTGTCAGAGGTGTAAAGGAGAGCATGTAGCCTACCCAGGGCTATTGCAACCACTACCATTGCCCTCAAGACCTTGGGAACACATAACAATGGACTTTATTGAAGGTCTGCCCAAGTCTGAAGGAAAGAACACTATCTTTGTCATAGTAGACAGATTCAGCAAGTATGCACATTTTTTATCTCTTGCTCATCCTTTTACTGCTATACAAGTCGCTAGGGTCTTCATGGATCAGGTTTACAAATTGCATGGCTTACCTACCAGTATTGTCAGTGATAGAGATAAGGTGTTCTTATGTCTATTCTGGAAGGAACTCTTTAAAGGATTGAAGGCTGAATTAAAGTTCAGCTCTGCATATCATCCCCAAACAGACGGACAATCTGAGAGGGTGAATCAATGTCTAGAGAATTACTTGAGGTGCATGACTGGTCATAGACCTAGTGATTGGAACAAATGGCTCTCTTTAGCTGAGTTCTGGTACAATTCTAATTATCATACAGCCACTCAGATGACTCCCTTCAAGGTTTTGTATGGGTACGATCCTCCTCAATTGACATTTGAGCTGGTGTCTCAGTCTAAAGTTGTTGCAGTTGATCAATGGCTACAAGAAAGACAAATTATGACACAAGTTTTGAAGGAGAATCTGGAGAAGGCACAACACAGAATGAAATTTTATGCTGATAGGAAAAGAACTGAAAGGGAGTTAGAACTTGGTGATTGTGTGTATCTCAAATTGCAGCCCTATAAGCAAACTTCCATTGCTCTAAGGAGCAACTTGAAGCTGACATCCAAGTACTATGGCCCCTACCAAGTGATCAAGAGATCAGTCAGGTTGCCTATGAACTTTAGCTCCCTGCTTCTGCAAAGATTCACCCTATGTTTCATATCTCTCAATTGAAGAAAAAGATAGGCTCGCATGTGGTTCCTTCCTTTGACCCTCCAGTGTGTTCGGATAATGGCCAGCCTCTTGTGGAACCTGTGGCAATTTTAGATAGAAGAATAGTGAAGAAAGGGAATGCTGCAGCTACGCAAGTCTTGGTGCAATGGGCTAATTTGCTGCCGGAAGAAGCCACTTGGGAAGATTACAACTTCATCAAATCTCAGTTTTCAAACTTCGAACCTTGAGGACGAGGTTCCCAAAAGGAGGAAGGATTGTCAAGAATTAAGCTAGCTAATGTTGTAATTAGTGGCAAGTCCTAAGTTTAGTACTATTTTAATTTAGTCCATTTTAATTCCTGTATTTGTAGTTGGTCCCTTTTGCAATTACCGGATATTAGAGACACGTGGCTATTATACCGTTAGAATAGGGAATCCTAGGTTGGTTTCCTTATATGCTCACAGTGTACTCATTTGCAGATTTTTATCAGAAATATTATCCAAATTTCTCTATCTTTCTTCTTCTTCCTCTCTTCTCTTCTCCTCTTTCCAATTCTGTTTCTTCACGACTGAGCTCTTCTATAGCTCAGCTCGTGACAGTACCCACCCAGTGCTCTTTCTACTACTCCCATTACTACCTTTATATTAATTCCTTAATGTTTGCCCTTCTCCTTTTAAAACATCAAAAAAAAATAAAAAAAATAAAAAAAAAAGGGTTAGAGGACGCTGGTTATGCTGTTGGAGCACGGATTCTAGAACTCCTCTGCCACAGGGAAAAGGTACTGTAATTCCCGACCTGCTGTTTTTAATCTTGATTGGGGGGAATTAAATGGTTTAGGAATGGGAGCGAGCAAGAGAGAGAGACTAGTTTACCTTCCACATAGCTCACCAGGCTCTTTCTGTGATTGCTTTCCCTCCAAATCCCATGTACAATTTTTTTTTTAATGTAAGGACTTGTAGTTAATTTTATTTAGTAGGTACGTAGTTTGTTGTTGACTTTCATTTTGCTTCATGTTCATTGTATGTTTCTCGTTCAGTGAAAATGAAATGGATACGGATTTATGTTACAACGGGGTTTGAGGACCATCTCGAATGTGGTTCTTTTGCATCACAACTGCTATATATCACTTTTGATCTATGAGGAAATCTCAACCTTTGAAATTAAATCATTTTGGTATTTAACGTATTAAAGAACTTCTAGAGCACTTCTTGATGCTGCTAGATGAACACATGCAGCTACTCATTTTAATGCAGCAGAAAGTATATTAGCTTTTGATATCTGTTGAAGAAATAGGGAATTTGGAGAATTGAATATCTTGGGGCACAAATGAAGAAAAGGCAACGAGGCAATTGACAATAAAAGTGGTGATGAGGCAACACACACACACACACGCAGAGAGAAAACAATTAAGTTACCGAGAACTGAGGCAACTGAAGTATGGTGTCAACGGTAATAATTGTAATTCAAGCAAAGGAAAATAAGAAAGATGTTAGCCGTTAAATGGCTATGAGCTTCTACTGAAGGTTTGGATTTGATCTGATCTGGTGTTTTTTTTTTTTTTGGCTCAGTATTCAATTACTCTGTAGACTTTTCTTAAATAGATAACATATACTGTATAAGAATTGCCTACTCTTGACCGCAATTCTCTTATTAGCTTGGAATGAAAAGAACAACAAATATTACAGCCGATCACTTTCCTAACATATCTGTATGCAACTATCCTTCATACTCTTTCGCTGAAATGGGTTCTTCAAAACAATGCACTGAAAAACAGCTAGACTATGGTGAATTTATCTTGTCATCCGTGACTAGGTCTCTAAAAGAAATGAGAATATGTTCTGTTAAGCACATATTTTATTCTAACTGCATCGCCTATGGAAAAGTTCAGAATTTGAGGTTTACTCATAAAAAAAAAGTTTAGAAGCTTAGCTTCAATGGTGCTCTCACGGCTATATATCCTTCCTGAAGAATGTCAGGCCACTTCAATTTTTTAATGTTTAAGCAAGCAAAATGATGGTTATTTGAATAATAGTTTGATCAGTTTCATTTTTTATATTGATGTAGTAATGGTTCTAAAATCTTCATAATGCTGCAGGGAAACAGAAGAGAGACACGACTTCTCGGTATTTTATCATTTGTCCATAGTACAGTATGGAAAGTTTTGTTTGGGAAGGTCAGATATAGTCTTTTCCTTCATTTGCTTTAAAAGCACTTCGTTTCTCTTTTGTTTCAATCCTATTTTTGCTTTCCGAGGCCGTGCTTAAGATTCACTTTTTCTTTTGGGTTTCTTTCTTTATTTCTGTTTATGTTTTGGCTTGGTGTTTAGGACGAGGAGGGAGGAGGAACTGCTACTTACTTTGGCCTGTGATTCAGTAGTGAAGTAGAAACCATGCCTGTTTGCCAAGTTAATTCATTTCCTTCTAGTAATAATGCTGGTGTCTTCATACATGCCTTCAAGTAACTTATTTATTAGGAAGGACGGTGAAGAATGAAGACAAATCTGCCCCTCACCCAGTACCCAAGGGTGCGGGTGAGCCAGGGGCGGATTTATAAGCAAAAATATGGGGCACGTCAACCTATGGTTTTTCCATAAAATTAGATATTTTATGTACGTATTTTTTAAAATTAGTTTAATATTAACTGTTGGCACCCATGTTTCAAAGAAGGTTGAATGATGCATTTGGTTGAAGGTTAAGTTAGTTATTTAGGGGAATAGGAATCAATTCTCACTTAATACATTTTTCCTACATTTTTTTGTAGTGCACCCATGTACTAGAAATCCTAAATCCGCCTCTGGGGTGTGCTAAGGAGGATACCAATATTTTCTTTGATAAGGTAAATCGTATTAATCAAAAGGGAGAAGAAACTCTCGTATACAAGAAGTATACCAAAAAGTAAAGAATTTATATCAAAACATGATTCTCTACAAAAGCTCTACAAGAAGTATACCAAAAAAGAGACTCAATCCCCTCAAAAGCTCTCCTATTTCTCTGCCCCCAAACTATCCACATGAGAGCTAACGGCGCGAACCTCCACGCCTTTTGCTTTCTTCTTCTACGGAAGCCGGCCCAGCTATATAACATTTCCTTTACAGTGCTTGGCATCACCCATTGAACACCAAAAAAATTCAGGATTGCCCTCCACAAACTTGAGGACACAGGGCAATGCAACAAAAGGTGATCAACTTCTTCCCCCAAGCTTTTACACATGTAGCACTAACTAACAAGTGTAATTCCTCTCTTTCGCAGATTTTCAGCAGTCAAGATCGCTCCCCTCGTGCTAGCCATGCAAAAAAGCACACCTTCGTGGGCGCCTTAGGAATCCAGATCGAGGAGTATGTAAAAATGGCCTCCTCTCTCACCAACATACTCTGGTAAAATGACTTTACGGTGAACAAATCATCGCCACGCAACCCCCATCTCCAAGAATCACAAGATGGTTGGGGCATGTCTTGCCCATATAGCTGTGCCAACATATCTTGGAGCTCTGCAATCTCCCGATCTTGCATGTTCCTTCTAAATGAGAGGTCCCATACTACCTCCCTTCATGCTTCTTGCGAATCTGTTGGACCATCAATTCCTTCTAATTTGAAACTCTGAAGACGTGGGGAAAGAGACTCTCAGAGTATCCTCTCCACACCACCTGTGATTTCAAAAGCTGATTCTCCTTCTATCTCCCACCTTGTAAGTGATGTTGCCATTGAAGGCTTCCCAATTCTTCATGATGCTCCTCCATATGCCACACCCGAAAGGTGTTGTGATTGCCTTGGTCCTCCAACCCCCTCCCGTGGAATCGTACTTTTCTACTATGACCTCCCTCCATAGAGCATGCTCTTCTACCCTGAATCTCCACAGCCACTTCCCCAACAAAGCTCTGTTGAATACCCTAAGCTCCAAGTCCACCCCACTTCTTTGGGGAAGTGATTGTCTGACAATTCACTAGATGAAACTTTCTAGTTCCATCCGCCGCATCCCAAAGAAAATTCCTTTGAAGCCGCTCCAGTTTTTCTGTGATGCTCATAGCAGCTTGCAATGGGGACAAGTAATAGGTGGGCATATTCGATAAAATGTTTTTAATAAGCTCTTCCTTACCGCCTTTTGACAAGTACCGTTTCTGCCAGCCTGCTAATCTTTTTTCAACCCTTTCGATCACTGGATTCCAAACTGTAGTATCCTTATGCGAAGCACCCAATGGGAGACTCAGGTAAGTAGTGGTAAGAGAGCCCACCTTACATCTGAGAACATAAGACAAAACACCAATGTTAGCAACCTCACCCACCGGGAAAATCTCACACTTGCCGAGGTTGATTTTCACTACCAGAAAATACCTTTTTTCCGACTACAAAATGTCAGTCGCAATTTTCCGACTACTGTAGTCAGAAATCTCATATTAAGAATTATTCCGAATATTTTTTCGACTAATATAATTAAAAAGTTTCGCAGGAAATTGCGCGCGTAAAAGTTTCCGACTACCGTAGTCAAAACATTAGATAATAAAGTCAAAACCACTTTTGACCAAGAATTTTTTAATTAAAAAATTAAATAATATATAGTTTCCGACTACAGTAGTCGGAAACGTTAACTTATTTTCCGCTAACCCTTATATCCTAATTCTTTTTTCTCACAATTTCTCAATTGCTCTGTCGTCGCTTTCTCTATATCTCCGCCTCTCTCTCAACCGCGCCGGTCAAAATCGGCGTTGAGGACTTCATCAGGTACGCGATCTCTCTCTTTCCCGTCTAATCTTCGGCCAAGACTAGGGTTTGAGGCTGGAATTATTGGCTAGTTTGAGGCTTGTCCTTGTTTGTGTGCTCTATTTGATTTTTTGTTTGTATTGGGGTAGAGTGAGGGCTGTGATGATGCTTATGAATCTTTCTATTTTTGGGTTGATCTTTGAGCATTGAGATGACCCGACCCGTATCTTGGTGTGGCAACCCGGTATGGCTGTGATTGAGTACTCCTCTCTCTCGTGCAACCGGTGTTTTGCAGCCATGGCATGGCTGTCTTCTCTTTTCCCTTTTCAGTATACGCGTCTGAGCCTCAATTTGATGGATAACATTAGTAGGCGTTTGGACAATATTGAGTTGAAATTGAGAAATTCTCCTAAAAGCAGACTTGTGAGGTCTCTTCGGTTAAAAGCTCTCATCTAAATTAATTTATGTTTATTAGATTAGCCCATCCCCAGACCCCACGGTGTGGCATAATACTGGGTATGTTTATTATATTAGCCCAGAAATGACGAGAATGAGGCAGTCAGAGAGTGGGATTTTTTACAAGGGTGGTTGCCCCTCTCTGCGTTGCCTAGGATTCTCCCTTTCTCAACAAACCAACAACCTTTCAAAAAGAAAGAGAGAAAGAGACATATAATAGTACTTCAGTATCTGGGTTTCCTTGCATTTTTGCACCCTTTTAATTTATACTCTCACGGACTATACAACAACTACGTGGCCTTCAGATCTTTTCATGAGATAGTGATGATGAGTTTTTCAGTATCTGGGCTAATGAATCCGGGCATGGAGATAACCCGACCTGTATCTTGGCGTGGCAACGCGGTATGCCCTGTGATTGAGACTCTTCTCTCTCTCACACACATACAACTGGTGCTTTGCAGCCATGGCGTTATTGGCCTCTCTTTTGCCTTTGACATAACAACACATCCGAGCCTCATTTGCTAAAGAAATTATCTTTTCCATATTGATGTGGGAAATATTGAACCCACGCCCTTTAAATTACTAGTTATAAAACTTTTAACTTTAAAAAGATATCCTATTTTTTTATCAGTAATTGGAATATTCGCTATATAATCCTCCATATAAGCTAATTCCCTTAGCCCAGAAATGGTGAGAATGAGGCAACATAGAGTACGGGATTTCTCTAAAGGGTGGTTGCCCCCTCTCTGCTTTGTCTATGATTCTCCCTTTTCAACAAACCAACAGCCCTTAGAGAGTTGGTAAAAATGAGAGACAACACTTCCATTTCTGGGTTTCTTTGCATTTTTGCACTCTTTGTTTGGAAAGCCGCCTTGTAATTAAACAGTTTTTGGTTGTTTGTATGGTTAAGTAAAAGACAAGAGGGTTGCTTTGCTTTGAAGTGATTCTTTTTGAGCTTTCAATTATTACAGATGTATATACACTTTAGACATCATTATAGATGGTTAACACTGTAAAATCTGATTTATATAATACGTATGGTGTAGCAGTATATGAAAATGGTTTTAATAATTTTGGACCACATGGGAATACGTAAACAAATTAATAGGGTTATGGAGAGGAGGAGGATAGGTTATTGAAAAGGGCGGGCAGGGTCACAGTCTTTTTTGGCAGCTATGAATTATTGAAAATAGGCTGATTTGTCACAACTTGAGTAGTTAATTATCACTATTCTCCATCCTTTTCTTGCATATAAATACAACATGTATCAGCAATCATTCGCATAACAAACCAAACAGCTTCAACCAAAATTACAAGGCACAGCTTCACCTTCTCTTCAACTAAATTGGGGTACAAAATTCGATCTATCATTCATTTACAGAACTGGCATTTTGTTCTTCTCAGCGATAGCATTTTTTCAATTGTGCCATCACAGTTTCACTTTAAGTTTGGCTAATGCTTTAATTTGTACATATAAGAATCGCAGAGAAGGTTTTCAGTTTATGAGTTCTAAATAGAATTTTGAAATTCTTTTAATCCGTATGTTAAGGGTGCAAGTTGATTAATGCGGTGACATTGATGTATTTTCCATCGTATGTCTTGTTATCTTCTCTGTTCTGTGTGAGTCCGCAATTTTATATGTTTCTGTTGTTCAATATTCCTTTTCCAACCAATTTTTCGAAGTTTGGAATCTTAATATTTACTTTGATACAAGAGACAGACTTGCATTCTTAATTTTTTGTATCATCTTAATTTAAAACTCGGATAACATAAGCTCGTGTATTCTGTGATGCATGTTAGTTGTTACTTGTTATATTCTGCTTGTGTGATTTTATGTCTGAAGTGATAACTATGGACATCAAGATGGCTATGGATTTTTGTGCTTTGATACGATTAAGGTAGTTACTTGCTAGAGGATAATTCTGCAGAATAAATCATGATTTGCCTTGGTTTTGGTCTTCTCTATTTTAATTTGTAATGAGTTATTGTCAGTGCTTTTGATTCATTAGTGTTTATCTTTGAATTAGCTTAGTCTCTCAGGGTCATTCACTTGAATCAATGGATGTTGCTATTACAATTATGACCCTTTACTGATGAAGTCTGTGTCTGTATAATCAGTGCATTGAGCCCCATGTTCATGCATTTTTCCATGCGCATATCTCTTTCATGTTGTTATATTTGTTGTATTTTAGTACTTTATACGTATATATTCATATATCATGTCGAATATACACGGGTGGTAGCATTGTAGGGCCGGGTTCAACTGAACTTTCCTTCTAACACTTCAAACCACTGCCATTTCAAGAAAATATCAAATAAATATATAGAGTAAGAAGTTGAAACAATATTGAGAGTGTTCAATAGAAATGAATTTTAGAATAAAAAAGGTCGAGGCACAAAGCTCTAGAAAAAGCGTAGACTTTGTATCTTTGCAAGAGACTGTGAATTTTACCTACATATTTATTTGGTGTCACTTTTTTTTCTACGTTCACTCATACAAGTCATCTTGATTTTGTAGAAGACTAAAGAGTACAAAGATTGATAACTGAAGGAAGGTTGGCACTACCGGCTCATCATCCATTTCGGCTTTTGTTTTTAGTTTCGTCCTTGCTGCGACTGGTATATCTATATATCTTTTTTTTAAATATATGTTTATGAAAAATATATCTTTATATAAATCATAGGACTTGCCTCATTCTTCATGTTACCTTGTTTGCCAATAACTAAATGGTTGGGTTTCATTTGTGTAAATTTGAAATTTTAGTTTCACTTTGATGCTAGGAGTTAACTATTAATTTATATTTACATGTTATTCATTTCACTTTAAGTTTGAATGAAATAATAAAATAATACTATGTAATCATTAAAGTATTTAGCATAGTACTAAGTGCACTTTCTCCGGATATTATTGTTGTTGCAAATTTAACTAGTCAATTGGACATGTGAGACTTCTCTTTTTGAATTTTTATTCCGCTATAAACTAGTAGATATGCTTTTGAATGTAATCAATCTAATTTTTGTTGTGAAAATTTATATTTATAGAGTCATTCATAGTTAAAATGTTGAAGGTATTACAATTATTCAAAGTAGGAACCTTTAGAAGAATATCTAAATAGTTTTTTTTGTTGATATAGATGGAATTTGAACATCGTAGATGGATGTATAATAGGACTCATCCTAATCGTGCNTGGCTGTGATTGAGTACTCTCTCTCGTGCAACCGGTGTTTTGCAGCCATGGCATGGCTGTCTTCTCTTTTGCCTTTTCATTATACGCGTCTGAGCCTCAATTTGCTGGATAACATTAGTAGGCGTTTGGACAATATTGAGTTGAAATTGAGAAATTCTCTTAAAAGCAGACTTGTGAGGTCTCTTCGGCTAAAAGCTCTCATCTAAATTAATTTATGTTTATCAATGGACAGCTTACAAGGGGTTGTGAAGAATTTTTATGATCAACAACTCTCTTGATAAATGTTTTGAGAAATAGTTTAGTTTCTATGTTCCCTTTGTTTTAATGGAACTACCTTTCTGGGTTTGGTTTAACAGGATATCAAAAACCAATTTAGTGAACTTTGCACACGTGTGTAATGGAATCAAAATATATTTCTGTTGAATTTAGGTTACAACTTTATAGTTTGTTAATCTTGATGTATGCATTACCTTCAATAGTATTAAAGCCTAGTTTCACTCATTATTCTCTTCTGTTCTAATTGAATGAATAAAAATTTCTGGTGTTTCCTCTCAATCTTGACTTGTGTTGACCTATTTTAATGACCCAAAATATTATGAACAGTCAAATTATGTGATCTTAATGGTAATATTCCGTCCTGTGTCTTGCAAAATAAACACTAGTTATTTAGATGAGAACATAAATTACACTTCTAACACTTCAAACCACTGCCATTTCAAGAAAATATCAAATAAATATATAGAGTAAGAAGTTGAAACAATATTGAGAGTGTTCAATAGAAATGAATTTTAGAATAAAAAAGGTCGAGGCACAAAGCTCTAGAAAAAGCGTAGACTTTGTATCTTTGCAAGAGACTGTGAATTTTACCTACATATTTATTTGGTGTCACTTTTTTTTCTACGTTCACTCATACAAGTCATCTTGATTTTGTAGAAGACTAAAGAGTACAAAGATTGATAACTGAAGGAAGGTTGGCACTACCGGCTCATCATCCATTTCGGCTTTTGTTTTTTAGTTTCGTCCTTGCTGCGACAGGTATATCTATATATCTTTTTTTTAAATATATGTTTTATGAAAAATATATCTTTATATAAATCATAGGACTTGCCTCATTCTTCATGTTACCTTGTTTGCCAATAACTAAATGGTTGGGTTTCATTTTTGTAAATTTGAAATTTTAGTTTCACTTTGATGCTAGGAGTTAACTATTAATTTATATTTACATGTTATTCATTTCACTTTAAGTTTGAATGAAATAATAAAATAATACTATGTAATTATTAAAGTATTTAGCATAGTACTAAGTGCACTTTCTCTGGATATTATTGTTGTTGCAAATTTAACTAGTCAATTGGACATGTGAGACTTCTCTTATAGATCAGCATTCCAAACAAATACCATGAAGTTCTTCTCAAACTTGTGCACGACTTTAGTAGTCAACCTGCAAGTGTACAAGATTCTCTTAGAAATTTGTTTACTTGCTCCTTATGATAAGTCCTCATTTGGTGGCCTTCAGTATGCCTCTTCCCAAATTGAATGTGGGATACTCTTGATTAGCACTTAATATATTATTCTTCTTTGATTATTGGTTATCTGAGGCTAAGCTGAGTGGCCCTGCTTGTGTCTCAGATGTCTTAGTTCAGTTGTAGCCATTTTCTTTTGCATTCACAATCTGTCAATGTCTGTGTTTTCATGTAATAGAATGACTTGATAAATTACAAACTATTATCCCTTTATTAGGATAGAAGTTGCTTCTTTGAATGCAAACTCTTTGCAATCTGTCAAGTGTGTTCGTCATCTACGCACAATGTGATTGAGATATCACTGGTTTCTAACCAAGTAAATTCCAACCCGTTTCTTGGTTTTTGGTATAAGTATTTATTTCATGGGCAGATTAAAAACAGTTGCATAGTAATCAAAATCATAGCTAGTTTTTGCTCCTTATATTTCTGATGCTTTACTTTGTCTATTGGTATCTCCAATGTGACTCTACATTGCCTTCCAGAGGAGAAATGTATATAGTGTGATCACTGTGTCTCTTCTCCCTATTCCCGAAGGTGTCATGCTATGTTGAGGAGGAGAGTAGACTATGGCCTCCGCATCTTCCATGTGTTCCTCATCTTCGTTAAGAAACACATTTGTATTTTGTCAAAATTGATTTATTTGCATCTGGTCTTTTCATGATCCTTTCTAGAGGTTGTCCATCTACGAATTAGTGATCCAACTGGGCATCTTACGTATGAATTCGTGCTCCAAGTATGGGCTCTTGTCCTCTCTCCATAAAGGAAGAAGAAAGTTTTAAATCTTAATGCAGGCAAGGCATATCTCGTTGAATCAGTCTTTTTTGCCACATCGCGTATAACGGGAATCGAACCCCCTCCGCTGCTGGCGGGCAGATGTATAATGTACTACTTCGATCCAGCAACTTGTTAGGAGTAGGTTTTCGGCATCCCTTCTCAGACGTCTTATTCCTTGCCTTAGTAATGTGCAATCAGCTACTTGGCACCTTCCCTTATTCTCCTTCCTTTCCTTTTAGATCTGAGGTAGTACTAATTAATGCTTGAATTGCTCCTATTAGAAATAGGGCTACTCTTGGGTACGAAAGAAGGATATTCCGAGCCTGGCGCATCCCTTTGATAGCTTTGTTTAGCCTCCTTTACTATGTCAATCCCTCCGTATTGGTTATGGCTGAAGCCGATCCTCTCCTTGGTACTTCACCTAGTGGCTAATCTCAAGTCTCTTCTCTCGACCGGATGGGCCTATGTCACTAGAACAGGTGAGGAAGACCTCCAATCACTGTACTGGCAATTCAAGATGAACTCCTTCCATGCCAACAATAATAGTACTAAACTTTCAAAAGAAGAGAGATGAGATCAAGCTTTGAAGTTGGTAGCTGAAAGAAAGCTGTTCGTGAAGGTCAGACCAGAGCATAAGGAAGGAAGCTCACTCAGAAGCGAACTCTGGTCTGTCTCTTTTTGAGAGAAGATTTTCTACCCCGCCTGCCTATGAAGAACTTCAAGTCTATCGGGAAAGGATGTGGTGGTAACCCCTGCAGCTTTGTCTAGAACCGGGCGTCCAGCCGTGTAGGAAGACTCACCCTAGCCACTATAGCGACCCCACCCCCAACTCTAGCTGAGAAGCACCCTCCACCCACTTCCATTTTTCCGTGTGCCCAAAAGCTCGCCCGCCCGGTTTTTGAGACCCTTTCTGATTCCCTCACCCAATCTCATGAGAAGCAAGCCCAGCAGGCCCTGCCTTAACCTGTCCTCAGACAGCCAGCCCTCACCAGGCTGCTGGCATTGCTAAATGCTCCGCCACGAAGCAAGCTTTCCCGAATACGACAAATGCGGAAGTGGCTAAAGAAGTCGGAGGAAGAAAGTTGTTGGACAACTGTATACACGAGGGTACATTAGTATTCTGGGAATTGGCAACATTGAAAGAAAGGGTAAAGGGTAGGAATCAACTTTTTTAGGTGTTGCACCGAATGCTAAAAAGTTTCGGTTCATTTTATTTACGATTTAAAAGATGCTAAAAAAACTTTCTTTCATTAGACCACGGCCCGGTGAGATCAGATTTCTAGAACGAAGTGAAGTGATAGGAAGAGAAGACTGCTGGCGGGAAATCCCTATTCATGAAAGCCCCTTGTAAAGGGGAAAACGAAAGTGTGCTCCTGCGCACCAGCTGAAGAACCCTACCCCACAAAGTAGCTTGATGGCCGAACCACTCCCAAGGCGAATAGTGCCCTAGGGGCCGACCCGGCACCGACCGGCTGAGACTCCCGCGCAGTAGGAGCGGACTGAGTCGGTATTCGTCTACGAGAGGCGCACTCGTATGCCTTTCGAGGCTTCCCCCTTGTAAATATTCTCAGGTAAGAAAGCAGAACCTCACCTCTTTCTGTTGCTGAACATAAACCTACTTTAGATCCACTAGAGCATGTTCTTTCCGTTTTTGGGTCGCTCTTCTTATCTGCCGTACCCCCAATCCTCCTTCATACGAAGGCATCGTAACATATACATCAAATCAAGATCAAATAAAAGATTCTCCATCCCTTCTTTATACTCGTCTAAATGGCTCAGCCCACATGCATCATTTGATGAAAGCACTCCAGTCGCCTCCGATGATTGGTTTGTCATCATTCTGATCGTGACTTGAAAAAAGAAAGAAGAGAAGGAACTTGGAGTTGGCGCCCACATAACGGATTGCTTGCTTACCAAGCCATCCTGGCTTTTCGCTCCTTTCCTTAGAGTCAAGTGGCTTTCACTCCTCCAGTTCTATTATTATTGACTTGACTTATTATTATAAAAACTACTCACTATCCAAATGAAAGACGATCGATTATCTACCCAAGAAGATAGAGAGTCCCACATACGAGAAAAGGTCACAAATAGAGTTGAACCAAGTAACATTGCAAAGGCATAATGATAGTAGGGTCGGGATATCCCCGCCCTCCGAACCGGACGTGAGGGTCTCCCGACCTTAGGGAGCTTGTTTTGGCAGATACTCTCTTATAGTTATGTGTCCTGGTTTCCGAGTTCTAGTGCAATATCATGGGAGCACGAGGGTGCATGTGGAAGAGTGGCCAAGACAATGCCAAGAACACGTCAGGCCATGGAAGCACAAAGGAGTGGTGGCATCTTAGAGGACTCTAGAGAGTCCTAGGAAGCTGCCTAGGTCGGCCAAAGGGGCTCTCGTTGAGCGTGGAGAAGCATTGGGAACCCTAATTTTTTTCTTCGGAGCCGTTTCTTTTTCCGTCCCCCCGCCCCGGCATAGCGCTTAGCTCCCAATGAGAAAAGATTCATTTTTAAGAAGTTCATTTGATGACTTAACAAGTCTCACCACCTTCTTTTGAACTATATCTATTTCTTTTAGCACTCTAGACACACTGACGGGAGCAAAAAAATATAGAAGTCCCGCGGAGCTGATGACCGCGGGTGGAGAATTACTCGATAAATAGAAGACCATGCTACCGTTTTGGTCGTTGCGCGGGGATGCGATTCGCCAAGCTGGGGCAAATCTTTCCCCTATCTCTAAAGGGGTTCGACTCAATACTCTTGTGTGTATTTATCCTTTCCCCTATAGATCCACCTTTCTTCAAAATAAAGATATAGCAACTAAAAGAAAGCTAAATCGAATCGGAATAGGATAAAGAACGCACGAAGGATCAGAGAGAAAGAGGATTCTAAAAGCGAAAAGCCTAGAAGACTAGATTGTCAGACTCGGAGGTAGCAATAAGATCTCTGTCTCCAGAGAAGGCATGAGGGTTTTCTAAAAGTCTCCTCTCATTACTTATGGATAAAGCTCTTAAGCTTAAGCTTTTACGAACTGAAAGATCTTCCCATTCTAAATAAGAATGAGAGTCTTTCAACTAGATGTGCTCCTTTGGCTGGGTTTGAGAGAGAGAGCGTGAGATAGTCCGCTTCTGAGAGGATTCTTTAATCAACCAAAACCTGCAACAGAGTCCTTAATTTCTACCACTTACAAGTGGAGAGATGTTCCATTGCCAATGGCCGAAGAAGGATGCAAGAAGAGGGACTTCTCTGAGTAAAGAGATAAGTAAGGGTAAGAGTCATTCCAATTGAGTAGGTGAAGAGTCTCTTTCGAGCGATATCCTTTACCACGCCTAACTAAATGAAAGAAAGTAAGAGAGAGAGTGGCCTCCTATTTCTTAAATGAAAATAAAGGACTTCCTTATCCTAAGGCTGTCATGTAAAACTAGGAAAGCACAACCGAATATTATGGAACATCAGTCAAGCAAGAAAGGTATTTGGTTAAGTAAATCCTGAATATTCCATACCTCTCGTGAGAATTTGCAACTTCAGATGGCCTCTTAAATGTCATGTTAACTCCAAGCCCGCGGTTAATAGCTTCCAGGTATTTGTTCAAGCTTATAATAAATTGACTTGTTTTGTAAGGTTTAAGCACAAAAAAGAAAGGTGAAGGTGTCTTAAGCCATAGTATCTACACATGATGACTAAACGTAGTGACTTGGTGGCTTACTGCGTCACAAAAAGAGTAGATTCTTATAGCGGAGAACACTTATGCAGACGTTTCCTGAACCTACTAACTATATTTTCTTAAATGCTGCTCCAATTCCTCAAGTGAAGAAATCACACTGCAAATGTAATTGACTTACTGGGGTTTGTAGTAGACAGAAAAGGGTCTCTGCGGAGGTCTTTGTGGAGACACATAAGAAAAAGAAGAAAGACGGTTCAAGAGAAGGATGGGTTGAGACACGTGCATCGGAACAATATGTAAGATCATAACTTTATGACTATTTTCACTTTGATATTGATTTATTTATATAATCCTTGTTACTTTTATTTCAGGATGGATTTCATAGAAGCTTGGATGAATGGTGTCAGACGCAGGCTATTTCTGATGATGGTACCCCAATCCAACCGTCACCCGATGTTATGACTTCAATATGGACGGATGTAGCAGGTGGTGTATCCAAAGGAAGAGTTTATGGGCTTGGAGTACAACGGCCTTCCTCTTTTTGTCCATCGCCATTAGTTTCGGATGCTCCTACTACGCAAAATCAGGAAGAATGGGAGCAATGCAAAAGAAAATGGAGTTGTTGTCGAAACGATGTGAGACGGCCGAAGCTCACATTGCTAGAATGGATAAATACATGAAAAAACACATGCCCCACTATTATGATGATGAAGAGACTGATTCTGATATGTAGTAGTGATTTAAGGTTGATTACTGTTCTTGGATGTTTAAATTTTATATTTAGACTTTATGATAGATTTGAATGATGTGGTATATATATGTTTAGACTTTATTATATTAGTGTCGATATGTATTAGCTACTCAGACTTGATATTGAATATTTAGACGTTAAGTAATATTTTGGTTTGATATTATGGGATTTTAATGTTTATTTGTTGATGTTGGAATTAATTGGTTTGATTACTAGATTGTTTAATTGGAATTGGTTGTGTAGTTGAAATTGATTGGTTGAGTTGGTTGTTTAGTTGGAATTGGCTTGTTTATAATATTTGCATTTGACAGGTGATGTATTGATAATAAAATGGCAGGACTCTGTCAAATTTCAACCCATTTTTCCGACTACTGTAGTCGATAAGTGTTCCCAGCATAATAATTTTCCGACTACAATAGTCGGAAAATGAGGCCAGAATAATGCAGATTCTGACTACTGTAGTCGGAAAGTACAATAAAATAACAAATAAATAATTATTATTTGTATAATATCCCACTACAGTAATCGGAAATATTTTTTAAAATAAATAATAGTTTTTTGTATTTTCCGACCACTTCAGTCGGAAATAGCTGCATTTTCTAATTTTTGGCGGAAAATATTTTCCGACCTATCTTTTTCCGACTATTTTGATAGTCAGAAAATAGCGAGTTTCTTGTAGTGTTTGAGTCCTGATACTATCTGAAACCACTGCAGGACCTGCTTCAGGTAGGTCAACTGATCCATATCGGCATCACAAAAACCAGGGTGTCATCCGCAAAAAGCAAAGGAAGATACCAACATTAGTGAAGGATTTGATTGGAGCGCCGAGTTTTAGCAGAGGTAGATAAAAATAGGGTGCCAAAAAACCTTATTGGTATGAACAGGAGAGATGCTCTCCATTTCTAAAACTAGCATTGACTATGCTATTCTACATCTTGGCTCTCCTTTAGCTATATTGTGATTGTTAAAATAACTCTCAACCTCTCTTGCTTTCCTGTCTTTTCAAGAAGCAGTTTGTGCTCTGTCAAGGCTCTCTTTTCAATTCTATTTTAGCTTCACTTCCGGAAACAAAAAAAGTTAGAAGACCTTTTCCTCTTTCTTTTTTTTT